TCCGTATGTCTGGACCACATGCATGTAGTGCCTCTGGAGGCCAGAAGAGGTCATCGTACCCCTTAAGATGGGAATTACAGGTTGTAAGCTGCCAAGTGGATGCTGGGAACTGAACCCCTGCAGGAGCAGCCAGGGCTCTTATCCACTGAACTATCTCTCCAGCCTACTAGCTGTGTTTTTATTCTCCTAATACACGGATGATGGAGGGGTGTTGATCCCAGGGAAATACGCCACCCACCCACCAGCTGCAGAACAACAATATTTTGGCCACTGCCTGAAGTTCTGGTCTTGCCCACCTGGGACTGACTGTGGTACCCGGGGAGGAACTTTAGGCTTTGTGAGCTCTCCTGGGTCGTTCTCGGCTGAAAGTATTCTTTAGTTGTATGTACTCTGTAGAGCTTAGAATAAAAAAGGTGCTGATGGCTTTGTGTTTTGTCTTTCAGTTTGTATCTGTTTAAACTGGGGATTGCACCTCAGATCCAGGATTTGCTGGGAAAAGTGGACTTCACAGGTACTCCTCTTTGCCTTTGTCTCCTCTGCAATCTAGTGACTAAGAAAACATGCAGGCGCCTTCTTCTTCCCATTGATGTTATTTGTTCCCTCTCTTCCTTCTCCACCTTCCTAATGTTGCAACTCATACATTCATCCTCATGTTGTGGTGACCCCAACCATAAAATTATTTCATTGATACTCCATAATTTAATGTTGCTACTGTTATAAATCATAATGTAAATATTTGATTTGATATGTGACCCCTGTGAGAGAGTCGTTCAACTCCCCAAAGGGGTCTTGACCCACTGATTGAGAATCAAGGCTCTGTACCAACAAGGGGAAACCTGCCATCTTGATTTCCTTCCTGGGCTGTGACAAAATACCCCAACAATAGTGACCCAAGGGAAAGGGCTTATTTTGGCTGGCATTACAAGGTTCAGTCTACCATGGTGGTGATGTCAGGGCATCAGAAGTGTGAAGAAGCTGGCAGAGAAGAGATCCATGAATGCATACTGCTGCCCAGTTCCCTTTCTCCATTTATACAGTTCAGAATCCTTGTCAGGATGGTGAGCCCATCTTCCCACCACAGCTAAGGTCACCAAGAGCATTTCCTACAGGCAGATGCCCATCTCTCAGATGACTCCAGAGTCCACCAGACTGACAACAAACACTAACCACCAAACTGACCTATTTTATTGCTTGTGCCTACCTGGATCCCCTCCCCCATATTCGTGGAGGGAAAGACTCAAGCAGATTGTTGGGAAATGGCTCTACCTTCGAAGAGTCTCTTTCCCACCTTCACCTTTGGTGGCTTCCTTTGATTTTTTTTTTGTTTGTTTTCTGTTGTCCTTTCAGAGGAGGAAATCAGTAATATGAGGAAAGAACTGGAGAAGTACGGGATCCAGATGCCAGCCTTCAGCAAAATAGGTGGCATTCTGGCCAACGAACTGTCTGTGGACGAAGCCGCATGTAAGTTGGCCTGGTATCTGTGTTTGTTATTGACCTGCAACTTACCCATATGCATTTGCTGATTATAATGGCGTAAGACAGGATACTTAAGAATGCTTTCCGAATCCTAAAGGTTTTGCTTTTGTTTGGGGAGGGATTGTTGTTGATGATGAGGATGAGAATGATGATGATTCTAGTTTACTCACCCCAAAAATACCAGGTGCAACCAAATAAAGTGAAAAACTTCATGGCTTTATTGTCTTCATAACCAAATCATCCTAAAGTTGGATCATTTAACCCTTTCTCGTCTTATTGCCTCCCAGTTCAGAACAGCCACATCTCTTACTAGGCAGCATCTTCTGAGATCTGCAGTTGGGTTCAAAGGACTCCAGCCTTAGCCCGATCTCCTTTGCAGGCTTAACCTTTGGGGGCAGAATAGGCTTCGTCTACCCATGCAGTCCCTCCACTTCCTGTCTAATGCCACTTTCCCTGGACAGAGACACCTTGCCCTTCTTGTCCTGCGTCCCCTGACGAGGTTGATGACTGCCACATTTCTTGTAGAAAGTCCAAACAGTTTCAGGAATGCTCGCCCTGTTTGTAGGACACTGTTATCACTGAGAGCCCTGGCATTTTTGTCCTTGCTATTGTAATTATTTGAGGGTGTCTGAATACAGTCAAGTCATTGCTTTTGGGTTTTAAACATGCATCTGTGTGATGTGAATGCAGAGATTTCAGAAAACACATCTTCACAAAACATAGCTCTACTTGCTGTGTCTTTGGTTTTCAGTTGTTATGCTAGGACTCTTTTAATGTTACAAGCTAAATTGTAGAATCTAAGAACCCACTTGTTTAAAACCATGTGGCCCTGAGAAGAAATCAAGGTCTGACTCTGTGCCCTAGTGAATGACATGGCCCATGGTCCCTCTCAGTGCTTGAATGAATAGATAGGGACACAGACACTGTGATCAAGACCAGTAACGGGCAAGCTTCCAGAGAGATCATTGGGTGCTACATGATTTGTTGAAAGTCTCTTCTTTTATTGTGGTGTGTGTGTGTGTGTGTGTGTGTGTGTGTGTGTGTGTGTGTGTAGATAAGCATGTACACGTGAGTACATTGCATGTGTAAGTCAGTTTGTTTCTCGGGAGCTGTCCACCTTGCTTTTAGAGACAGGGTCTTTCACTGGGACCTAATACTAGATAATTTGGCTAGCATAGCTAGCCAATTTAACCCCAGGGATCCACCTGTGTCCATCTCCCCAGTATTGGGATTACAAGTGCATGTCACCGTACCTGGCTTCTTAAATAAATACTGGGAATCAAGAAAGCACTTACCAACTGAGCTCTCTCTCCACACTGGAGGTCCCTTTTTACCTACTGGGAGCTAAATAAGGCAGTATAACTACTTAAGTGTATGGGGTATTAATGTTGTCAGTGTCTTTTGCTAATTTAAAAAGAGTCTCCTTTCTCTTTTTTTAGTACATGCTGCAGTCATAGCCATTAATGAGGCTATTGAAAAGGGAGTGGCTGAGCAGACCATTATAACACTAAGAAACCCAAATGCAGTTTTAACTTTCGTGGATGACAACCTCTCACAGAAGTACCAGAAAGAACTCTGGGAAGCCAAAAAGAAAAAGGAGGAAAATGCAAAATTGAAGGTACTTAGTTAAAGTCTAAGTAACTTATGTTCTAATGGATATGGATATGAGTTACTAACATGAAAAGTATTAATGTTGACTGCAATGATTTTTAAACCAACTGGCTATGGTCTCTCAGTTTGGGTGGGATGGGAAGGTTACACGACCCTAAATTACATAATGTAGTTAGGACTGAACAAGAGGTGTAGACAGAAGCTTCAGAACATCCTTTTTTGATATCATCTTTGGGCTCCATGCCAACTATGAAAATTGTGTGTCTATGAGACGACATTAATAATTCAACAAGGAAATGTTTAGAGAGGAAATTTTTAATGCTTTTCCACATTTTCCCAATACCAAACCTATCTTATTGGAAAGTATCCCCTTCTCCTAAAGAGAAAGCATGTTTCTAGTCCCAACTCTAAACCTACCAGCTTCCTGGATAATCTGTGTTGACACCTTTGTCTATACTGAAACTCCTACTCAACAACTTTTCTCTCATTAATGTTTTGTCCTTTACTGGTAGCATTCAGTGGTCCCCATCCCAGTGCCCCCTCTACCCTGACAGGCTCTGCACACCTGACATATGTAAGTAAGTCTTGGCTGTAACAGCTCTTAGGTAGCGCTAACCTCGTGGAGTCTTCCTCCTCCCTCTTTCTCTTGGGATTCTTCCCAATCTCGCATTGATCTTTTTCTGTTCTTCCTCCATTGAGTCATATGCTTGTTGAGGAATTCAGCTGGAAGCTCTAAGCCAGCCCCTCCCATGTCATCCTCTCTACTCCTGAAGATTTTGCATTCAGTGTCCCTAAGACCTTATGCCTGATTGCAGGAGAATGATTGTTTCCACTTGTCCTTGTCCCACTTGTTCTATGCTCTGTCTCCACAGTTTGAGATGACTGATATTTTGTCTAGAATTTTTAGCACCTCCCCCTCCCGCTCCTAATGAGATTCTGCCTTTTCCTGCCAACTTGAACTCATTCTTTGCCTCCAAGTCCCACACACTGGCCTCCAGGATTTTCACAGGACTCCTGTAGAACCTCCCTCCCAAGTCTGACTCCTGTAGAACCTCCCTCCCAGTTCTCTCTGGTTTCCTATCATTCTCTAGTCTACCCCCTCTCAGAATGTGAGGTGGCAGGATTAGTGTTTAATTCAGAACTGATATTACCTCAACAAAAACTTGTCCTGGTTCTCTTTTCCCTCCTTATGTTAAGTACAGGGCTAGGTGTAATTCCTGTGATTCCAGCACTTAGAAGGCAGAGACAGGCTGATCTCTGTGAGTTCAAAGCCAGTTAACAAAATCAAGTTCCAGACCAGTTAGGGCTACACAATGAAAACCTGTCTCAAAACAAAACAAACAAACTAAATTAAATTAAATACAAGTGTTCAGCTTGGCCTTTGGGATCCTCTACAATGTAACACCACCTTTTACCTAACACAACAAACAAGGCAAGCTGTGTGATTTTTTTTTTAACTAAGCAATGCTGCCTATGGCCCATTGCTTATCCTGGACTTCTCTGTTCCTCCTGCAGACTTTGCTCAGTTGTTACCACAATTTAGACTTTTCTTTCCAATTGAGTTTGACCGTGATCTCTTCTATGCAGATTCATTATTTGTGGTTCCTCATTTATTAGATGGACTCAAATGAAATTTCCAGTATTTCACTGTTCTGCCTCTGTGAAAGTCTCCATATTGAGTGATTCCCTTCTGTTATTTTCATATTAGAAACGTAGCCTGGTTCACAGAATGGCAGGACCTGTTGTTTACCCTTGTAATTCTTCCTGGTTGTGCCTCCCCTAGAGCCCTGCACTAGTAGGTATCCCATAGATGCTCATGTTGGTTACATATGGAAAGGAGCAAGCTCCCTTTATCATTTATTTGCATTTCATGCTTTGGAAACATCAAAATGAAGCTCGGGGATCAGTGAAGATTTTGTTTTGCAGAACAGCTATATTTCAGAGGAAGAGAGAGATGCATATGAGGAGCTGCTGACACAGGCAGAAATCCAGACCAACATCAATACAGTCAATAGTAAGTGATGGATTATGTGTGGGAAATGGATATTTCTATAAGATGTAAGCTTGCTTTGCCTGAATCTCGACAAAATTCCCCTTGTAGCTTGCAAACCTGTCTTAAGAAATAGGAAATCTATCAACACTGCTCGTCATTGTGATGTAACATCTGGCAGTTTCCTGATGGGTCTCCTTCATTGGTACTGTTCCCGGTTCACACACAGCATGTCAAAATGTCTGGAAACTTGTTCTCCCTTGCCTTCTGATTTCATCACAGCTGTGATGTGTCATTTTGGCTCTGTCCCTTGTAGGACTGACACTGACTATTATTATTTAGCAAAATGTTACAACTTAATGACTGTGGTCCCTTGCTCTCGATCGTGTGATGGTGTTGTACTGAAATTGTAAAAGGTATTACATTACTGGTATTTCTGTTCTTTATACATTCACAGGCTTTAATATATAGTTCCAAGAATTTTTTAACAGCTTATATAGCCTTTACCGCAACTGAATGAGACTATTGGCAGGTGAGATGAAGTTTGCATGATAGCAAGTGTGGGTCTGTGCTTCTGAGCCTGTGTGGGGTCACACAGTTCGGCTCCTCTCCACGCCCTGTTCAGCTAAGTGACTGTTCTAGTTTCCCTTCGGTCCTGTGGTAAACACTTTGGCCAAATGCAGCGTGGGGGAGGGAAGGGTTCATTTGACTCAAACAGGTTACAGTCAGTCACTGAGGGAGTCAAAGCTGGAGTCCAGAAGGTCTTAGAAGCAGAACATGGAGAAGTTCTGCTTGCTAGCTCAATTGCAGGCTTATACTCAGGAAGCTTAGCTCACTTTTTCATACAGAACCAACTGTCCCAAGGAAGGGCACTGCCTACAGTGGACTGGGCCATCCTAGATCAATAACGAACAATCAGGACGTACCCATAGACATGCTCACAGTCCAGTCTGGCCTGGGCATTCCCTCACTTGTGAGTCCCTTCTCAGATGACTCTAGGCTGTTTCAAGTTGATAATTAAAACTGATTGAACAGACTGGAAAAAAACCAGAAAACTTAGGCAGTTAAAAATGAACAACTGTAAATTTAGATCCATCAATCATTAGGCTTTTCCTCCATCTAGTAAAACTTATCTTTACTTGAACATCAGAAGAGGCAGTAAGGAATTCTGTTTGATATTGATTCTCTCTAGATTAGTCTACATAGCCTGTATTTCCCCCAAACTCTTAATACATGAAAGACCACTGGACCCATTTAATAGATCACGTGAACTTCTGCTGAATTTAAAATCAGAGTTTCCACCAAGCAGCATTCCTAACACTGCCCTCCCTGTCACTGCCCAGATGTGCTAGGAACATTTCTTATTCCTTCGTACACTCAAAGAAACACACACCTGCAGGTCTAGCTGAGACCTGTTGGAGAAACTAGTCCTGTGGGGATCAAGGATGTCAATGCAGATTAACTCATGTCTGTGTCTGGCAGCTAACATCCAAGCATGAGATTTTACATGAGAGCTTACTACTGATGTGTCTACATCCACACCTTGCAATTTTGGGGTGCACATCCCCGTTCTGTGGAACCTCAAGCATGTGGGTAATGATACACAAAGCTCAGTTTCAGTGTTTTCTTTCTGCTGTTTGTGAAGGCTGAGACTTTCATCATCCTGGACAGAAATGAATTACAGGAAGAAATGAATATTGCCAATGTGACAACATCTGAGCTCAGAGAGCTTTGAGAGGAAATGGTCTCATGCCTTTGAAATACTTAGAATTAAGACAACTTTCTCTTTGTATGTTTAACAAAATTCTCTATAAATACCTGAATACCCAATGACCTAACCTCCTGACCACAGATTTAACTAATTGGCTATACTTTCGTTTCCATTTTCAAGTATGAGGCAATGGGTAATTTGTCCCATGAGCACAAAATGAAATTGATGAGGGTACTACCATGTCTGGTGACTTAGTTCTTCTGGAAGTTTCTTCCCTTCTCTTGGAAAATCTGTAGTCCAATAGAACTGGAAGTGCAATCCATGGTGTGATGATGAGCTATTGGTACACCTTAAAATCTGCAAGTAAAGGACAGGGACGTGAACAGGCTTATCCCAACCTTGAGGGTTACTGTATTAATGCTGGGGCATTTACATTCATAGTAGCCAGTTAGTGACATTGGCAGCAGCTTTGGCGGTTATATCAGGGTCTCTCCCCAGAGACTTAAGTTGTATGTGGACTGCAGTTATGGTATACTCTATCAACACTAGGACAAGGGATTTTTTTTAAATGCAGGGCGCAACAAAAGGAAAAAAGAAGGCCGGGCAGTGGTGGTGCATGCCTTTAATCCCAGCACTCGGGAGGCAGAGGCAGGAGGATCGCTGTGAGTTCGAGGCCAGGGTGGACCGACAGCCTCCAAAACAATACAGAGAAACTCTGTCTCGTAAAAACCAAAAAAAAAAAAAAGAAAATAAATATTTCTGAAAATAAATATTTCTGAAAAACAGGAAAATAGGATTTTTTTAGAATTTAGATTTTATACTATTATATTAATGTTTTTCCTACGTCCATATACATGTGTGCACTACATGGCATGTCTGGTATCCACAGAAGTCAGAAGAAGACAGTAGCTCCCCCGGATCTGGGGTTATGGCTGGTTGTTTGCCCCCATATAAAAACTGGAAACCAAACCCTGGCCCTCTGGAAGAGCAGCAAAGACTTTTAACCACTGAACCATCTCTCCAGACCAAAGGAAAAATAGTTTTAAGGGCACTTTGTGGACATGATTTTTTGGAATATATTTATAAAAATATTTACTATCCAGCCATATATACCAACACAAAAAAAGTTCCCAGGGGTGAAGAAAAATCCTGCCAATGTAATCCCAGGTAATCCCAGAACTATCTGGAAGGCTCTAGAATACTAACAAACAGGACACATCACAATCACTTGTCTTCCTTTTTGGAATTCTTTCCTTTGTCAAATAACTTCTAAGGATTTAAAAAGTAAGTTTGGGCTCTATGGATCTTCTATGTTAAGTGTACTTTTTTTGTTGGGGGGGATTACCTGAAGGATTCCATTACTCATGCTTCCTGCTATTGAGTGTCATTTCTTGGTAGAAAGGTCCAGGGAGGCTCCTTGGGAGATAAATTGTCATCCTGTCAAGAGGGGTTAGAATAATTCTGGCTGTCGTGTGGCCGTGCCATTGGGCACATAGACGAGTGTGTGTCTGTGTGCCATTGGGCACACAGACGAGTGTGTGTCTGTTTTTCCTGGTACCCAGATGCCTTCCTCAGAAGGCAAATCTTACAGGTTCTGTCCAGCTTTCTTTCGACTTGTTGGAGCAGCAGTTGGGTTTCTGTGTTCTGAAAACTCTACCGACTCCATCCTTCCATGCTTGAACCCTTCCCTTGGTCACTGAACGTTACAGCTGATGGAGAGGTTAGGCGTTTAGGGTTGTTTCAGAGAGTAGAACAGCAGAGCCAAGTTCTGCTGTGGGCTTACCATGTGCGGATCCACTGGGAGGGTACAGCATCAGGACAGGGCTTGCTCCTGGTCTTCAGGTAACTTAAAGATTTCCTTGATGAGGCAGTACTAACATACAGAATGCTATGTTCCAACTTTACCTACAAATGAGATTCACGAGATGGGAAATCCTCAGGACACGGAGTAGTTTGAAGGCATCACGGGTGAGGTGGGGGAAAAAAGCCAGTCCTGAAAGAAAAGCTTTTGGGATTCAAAGAGTGGATACAGTACTTGCTGTGAAAGTGTGAAGACTTGAGTTCAAATCCCCAGAGCCCATGAGTAAAAGCTGGATGAAATAGGATGCCTGCAGCCCCAGTGCTCCTATGGTGAGATAAGAGGCAGAAAGATAGGTTAATCTCCAGAAGCTCTTAGGTTAGCTAGCCAGGAATTCACGGCAGCTAACAACAAAAGAGGCACTGTCTCCAACAAGATGGAGAGTGAAGACTGACACCTGAGGTTGTCCTCTGAGTTCCACAAGTGCCCACATACTGGCACACAACACACGTATCACACACACACAAAACAAGGGCTTTTGTGAGGACATCATACTAGCAGGTCCACTAGTGCTGTAGTTCTTTTTGGAGCTAGCTGCAGGCATTTGAACGACTGGAATCACTGAGCAGACTCCACAAGCTAACCCTAACCCTAACCCTAACCCTAACACTAACCCTAACCCTAACCCTAACCCTAACCTCCGCCCATAGCTTTTCAGAAGTTGTGGAAAGTGATGGCTTACATTAGAACCTTGGGAAGGAGCTCTGGCTGGGCGGGTCAACAGAGGGAAGCACACATTCTCACTTCGTGTATACTTCCCTACCCCGCAGGACTGGCTGCCGTGGACGACATCAATGCTGTCCTTCGGGAAGGTGACCCTGAGAACACGCTGCTTGCACTGAAGAAACCAGAAGCCCAGCTGCCAGCCGTGTATCCCTTTGCTGCTGCTATGTACCAGAATGAACTCTTCAACCTGCAGAAACAGAACACCTCGGTGAGGCACAGCTGTGTGTGCATTTATACCATGTCTCTGGGAGAACGGTGACTGGGTGACTGCTGAGAGAAGGGGGGGGACACAGGGACGATGACATGGGATGGGACACTGATGGGCGACCTCTCTAGCTGGCACATAGTTCCAGCCTCAGTGGGCCACTAATGCCATTCCTGGGTTCATTTTCCCCTTAATTCTAGCTTTTAGTCCAGGGGAAATGCTAAGGACACGGGTAGGAAATCAGGAGTAGTGTACACAATACACAGAAGAACGAACTGTCACTATTTTCTCTGTGCATGTGTTTAAGAAACATAGCTCAGAGCTCATACTGATATTGTGGGGACCCAAGGTCTGTTCCAAGCATCCGTGTCAGGCGACTTACAAGTGCCAAGAATTCTAGCTTCAGGGAGACCTAATGCCTTTGGCTTCAAAGGGAAGGGCACTTGCACATGCACATTTACGTACGTACCCACACACGGATACACTCATATATACATATTTAAAAAGAAATTGTGTTTAAAAAAAGTATGTTGAATAATTTTAACTGTATTGAAATACTCTTTAAATCAGCACTTCTAGGAATCTGCAACTAAGAACATTAGCAGCGTGACTTTGATTTTTATAAATTTATGATATGCTAAAGTATTAAACAGTCATTTTCATATAAGTGATATGTCTTAGTTAGGCTTTCTCTTGCTGTGAAGACACCATAACTACAGTGATTCTTATCAAGAAAAACATTTCATTGGGGTGGCTTACATTTTCAGAAGTTTAGTCCATTATTATCATGGCAGGACATAGTGGCATGCAGGCAGACAGTGCTGGCTACATCTTGATCAGAAGGTAACAGGAAGTAGACTGACTCACTGGGCTCGGCTTTAGCATATATGAGACCTCAAAGCTCACCTCCACAGTGATGTGACACACTTCTTCCAACAAGACCACGCCTACTTCAACAAGGCCACACCTCCGAATAGTGCCACTCTCTTTGGGGGGACCACATTATATAACAGGATGTTTACTCGAAGTCTATGAGCTGCAGAGAGGAACAAAATGAAAAGTACTGGAAGTAAGAATGTCATATAGAGAAGAGCTGATGTTGCCATTGTGAGGAGGGTTGTTCAATATGGAGTCCCCTGAAGTGTTTACCAGGTGATCAGAAAGTGTTATTCATGGCACATACATCGCAGAATAATTTCAAGGCTAGATGTTTGCCTGGCTTGCATGAAGCCATGTTCAGTCCCCAGCATCACCCCCTGAAAATAAAAAGTAAAATTGAGAGTTAAATGTAAAAGTAAATTTTAAAACTCCAAGTTCTGAACTGGAGAGAAGGCTTAGTAGTTAAGAGCACCTGCTACTCTTCCAGAGGACCCAGGTTCAATTTCCATCATCCATGGTGTCTCACAGCCTTCTGTAACTCCAGCCCAGGGCATCTGCCTCCCTCTTCTGGCCTTCTCTCACACCAAGCACGCATGTGGTGCACAAGAAAACACGCAAGCCAAACACCCACACATATGAGATACATCAGTAAGTTTCTAATCCTATGTTTTTCCTTTTTCTTTTTTTTTTTTTTTCTTGAGTCAGGATCTCACCATGTAACCTAGGCTGGCCCTGGAGTTAGCTATGTAGACCAAGTTGGCCTTGAACTCACAGAAATCCTTCTTTCTGCCTCTGCTCCCAATGTGCTGGGGAAAGGTGTGCCCTACCAGACCCAGCTTTAATAAATAAAACTTTTTAAAAATTAAAATTTTAAGGAATGATAGAAGAACAGTGACTGGATTTTAAAATTCAGAGCCAGAGTTGTCTATTGATGAAAGGAGGCTAAGAGTATGAGTGACCAGCTCAGAGAACCATGAATGGGAGCTTACAAAATGAAAAATGTTTATAAATGAAAACAGAGTGTGCATGTGTGTGCGTGCATGCATGCGTGTGTGTGTGTGTGTGTGTGTGTGTGTGTGTGTGTGTGTGTGAGCGATAGAGAGAGAGAGAGATTACATGGGTAGTTTCTCAAAAGATTTGCGGGGATGTAGGTAAATATGGAGCTGCTGGCACCTTTGAGAATCTGGTTTTTAAAATTGTGCCGCCTTCTAGACCAATGTGTCTCAAATGCTCATGGTTCTGACCATTGCATTCTAGAAACCAGGCCTGAAGAAGACGAATCAGGAAGCTTAGCCACAGAGATGTTTCTCAGTCTGTTAGACTGGGGGGAAATAATCTAACTGCATGTTAATTATTATTAAGAGAAGATTATTTAATCTGTGGTATTTTTCCTGTGCTAAGAATACTATGCAACCTGCACAAAATATGGTAGAAAGAATAATAAAGCCCTATGAGATAGCTCGGTGGGTACTGGCGGTTTCCACTGAAGACCTGAGTTTGATCCCTGGGACCCACACAGTAGAAGGAGAGAACTGGCTCTCACAGTTTGTTCTCTGATAACTACATCCACACTGTGGTGTGCGTGTGCAGGTGTAGGTGTACGTACACACACACACACACACACACAAAATGAATGAATAAATAAATAAATGTAAAAAATTAATTTAATGAGTAATGATCAGAACAAAAGGTCCACATTAAGTGAAACAAACAAAACCCAGAAGCTAAGACGTATTGGATTCTGGTATATAATATGTTCTTTTTAAATCAGTTAAAATGAATAACACCTCTGTAAAACTATGTGTAGATTAAAAACAAATAAATATAAGCCTGGCAGTGTTGGTGCATACCTTTAATCCCAGTGCTCAGGAAGCAGAGACAGGCGAATCTCTGAGTTTAAAGCCAGCCTGGTCTACAGAGTGAGTTTCACGACACCCAGGACTACACAGAGAAGCCCTGTTTCAAAAAACAAAAATCAAGCAAAAACAACAAAAAAGAAAAACCAACAATGAACAAAAATGACAACAAAAACAAACACATATAGCCTAAAAGGTTAGTGTTACAGGATTTTTGAGAGGGGCAGGGGAGAGAGTGTGCACGCCCTCATGGAAGCCTTAGAATTGGTTAGCCTGCAGCTGGAGCCACAGGCAGTTATGAGCTGCCAGGCATGGATTCTGGGAACTGAACTCTGGAAGAGCAGCAAGAACTCTTAGCTGCTGAGCCATCTCTCCAGCCCTGGGTTGTAGGATTTGTTTGTTTATTCTGGCTTATCAAGATGGCCCTCCCCTTCACACATTTTCTACATAGAAACAATTACTGTGAGGTACATTATTGCTTTCTTACATCATATGTAGGTCCTTTTCTGTGCCCTCTCACTTCTCCTAGATTGGAAATTCAGACACTCAAGCCGCAGCCTAGCGCAGCCGTGGATCAGAGGCACCCGTGCAGCGGCCTGCGCTTTCCTCTCTTGTCCTGTTGTCAGAACCTGCTGCTTGGTATCTGCGCAGTTCCCCGGAAGAGAGAGCGGAAGTGCTTAAACAGGGCTTCCGTCGGCCTGTTGTAGCTTACGTACAGTCTTACACACCTTCGTGTGGTGAATTTATAGTTAATGTGTGTCATTTAGATAAACGCTCTGTGGTTGTCACAGTTTCCTGTTTGCAGTAGAAAACAGAGCGGTGATTAATTACTCTGAAATCAGTTTGGTTTTAAATTTTTCTGTATTTATTTGGGAAGCTATAATACATTTTAATATGATTATGACATTTTGCATACATAATAGTCTAAATACAAGGATTATATCCACTTTTTAAAGGAATAATTTTCAATCTCTTCAATATAATGAATGAACTATCCTTTTTGACATTGATTAAAATGATATAAAATGATCAAATGGAAGAAAGTCTTGAAAGGAGAGGATGCTCTGAAAGCTAACCTGTTTTTACATAACCCAAATAAAATAGATTCATAAATATGCAAATTGGAGGGGCTTCCTTGCTTTACAAAAAAGCTTTACCTTAAATAACATCAGCTATCCAGCCCTTATAGTACATCTTAATGTTTCTACCCAATTTATAAAGCCAAAATTACCTTTTGGGGGTTAGGATCAATTTCCTTGACTGAAAGATCGCTTTTGTTTTTCTAGGCTTATAACATTTTGGTAAAATGCCTCTTTCCTGGGCCCAAAAGAGTTATTTTCTGTGCTGGGGTCTCACCTGGACCTCTGTCAGTTTTGTCTAACCTGTGGCTTAATTACCAGGTTACATAGAGCCTGGTAGGCAGCCAGCCCCGCTGGGGATAGAGATCAGCTGTGGGATACAGATATTTGTAACATTGTAACTGTAGGTTACACATAACACAGTCCCCAAAATAATAATCTAAAAGAACCTAGGAGCCATTTACCTGGCTTTCCTGAAATCCAATGAAGAGCAGGTGGGCATGCTCATTGTCATATGTATCCAGTGCGTGATTCTAGGAGCTCACTTTGTCCTGTGTTTGCCAACAGAACTACTTGGCCCATGAGGAGCTCCTGATTGCCGTGGAAATGTTGTCTGCTGTTGCTTTGCTAAACCAGGCCTTGGACAGCAATGACCTTGTGTCTGTGCAGAACCAACTGAGAAGCCCCACCATAGGTTTCAACAGTCTGGATGAGGCACACGTGGACCGGTAAGGAGCACTTTCCAAACCTTCTTTCAGGGGAAAAATAAAAAAGAGTGCTTGGCAGATCTCCTAAATTAACAACTCGCCTAGTGGGAAAGTCCACAGACCCTGCTTGCGTTTTCTCAAGAGCTGATCCACCCTGCAGTAAGAGGCCTTCTTTATTGTCCTTCTTTTCAGGGGACAAAGTTATCATCTTGTGTTAAGGACTGACTTTATCCTAAGCAACGATTGCTTCCTGGAGGAGCTGTTTAAAATATACCTTCCTTCGGGGCTCTTCGGGGAAGTTGGAAGTAGCTTCAGAAAGTTGGAAGTATCTGCCTATCAAGGTCCCA